TTGAAAAAATTTTCTTTTCTTTTGTTTCTCTGTCCTTCGTTTGCACGTACGCACGCAGGTACACATTGTACGAGTTTTCTCTCTTTTCTTTTTTTTTTCTTTTTCTTTTTCTCTCTTTTATACTAGATCGATTCAAATTTGAAATCGAATGCATTTCGTAAACGTGTAAGATTCTTATTGCTCGTGTTTGCAATCAGTTCAAATGAATAAAAAGTTATCATAGTTCACTATTATTTTGACTGCATTTACGCAATACGTAATTTCATGGTTTCACCATTTATATATCCCGTATTGCAACTTATATATACTTCTCTTGTTTTTCCTGTTTAGAATGCAAAACATAAAAAATTTCGTTACTCGACATTTACAGCAAAAATACTCGTGACAAAAAGAATGTACGTTATAAAAATATCGTTTCTTAATTAAGAAAATGATCGAAGCACTATCTATTATGACGATTATCAACAACTATCGACACGTTATAAAAGCAAGCGGCTTTTAATGAGGTTCGAGAGTTTAAATAAACTGGATTATGTTGATGCTATGATGTACTAGTACACACAAACACGTTATTGTGTAAAAGCAGTCGGCTTAAGCTACCGTGTGATATTTATCTCTCACGAGAAGAAAAAAAAAAAAAAAAAAAAGAAGAAGGATTATAGCTATTCAGTACAGTGCTGTTACTTTCCACATTATAAACTGTGAAAAAGACACAGACTGAATGTCACTGTCCTAGCATTTCAAAGTTTAATTTATAAATTAACTTAGATCTGTGTCTTGTCTACCATTAGGCTGATCGGTGGTTTAACATGCACAACTGCTCTCCGTTGCTTTCAGTTCAATTGGTGTATCCTTGAGAACTACTTCTTGCACTACAGGTTTAGCGACACATTAAGGAAAACACAAAAAAGATAACAGAAAAAAATTGAAAATTGTTAATAACGTTAAGCAATAATATTAAAAATAATGGATTTGAAATGACATTGAAAAAATCAATAACAGGTGTGAGAAAGTCTGAAGAAATTTAAAAATATATATGGAATGCATATTTAATTATCACGAGAGTTCAACATAAACTTGCTGCAAATAAAAATATCTGAAATATAAATAATCAATGAAGTCCCTGCAAAAAAGATAAATAGAGAAATTGCCATGATAGACTAAAATAAGACAACTCCAGAAAGTAAATGATATTCGAACTCTGTAACAAATGTAAATACAATAAAAGTTGAGGATATAGGATATGTTTTTTAGTGCAGTACTCGAAGGAAGAAATATGCCTGAAATATGATTATGTATATGTACCATGCAAATGTGCACATTACGTATCTTACACAAAGGATACTGTCTTCAGGTGGCTTATTTTCAGTGGAATCCATGCCTGGTAAAGCTGCTGCTATTCTTCTAAACAGCTGATTAATCAACGAAATGTAATTAGTACCTTATCATTCTAGCCAGGACAGCAAACCTATACAACAGAAACCTACCTGTTTCACATTATATCCAGCTTTAGCACTAGTTTCAATAAACATTACATTTAATTCTTTAGCTTTTCGTTCACCCTCTTCCATTGAGACTTGTCTTTTATCACCCAAGTCTGTTTTATTACCCACTAGCATAATAACTACATCACTGCCCCTTTCAGTCCGTACATCATCAATCCATTTTGATGTTTGATGAAATGAGTTTGCATCTGTGTAAATAGTTCACTTGAGTTGATGCAATAACATACCATAGATAACACTGTCTTCCTATTTCACATTCAACTTACTAGTAATATCATATACCACAACTGCAACTGTAGAGTCTCTGATATAACTAGGTATCAAAGATCTAAACCGTTCTTGTCCAGCAGTGTCCCATAGCTGTAATCTTACAGTTCTATCCTCCAGATACATAGTTTTGCTTAAAAAATCTATACCTATTGTAGCCTGTAACAAATGGTATACAGTGCCTTACTGCTACTTTCTACATAACACACTCCTCCTATTTTATCACATCTCCATATTACAGTTAGAAAAACACATTAGAATTTCATGTTTGAATGTATTCACAGAAGAAAAAACAACAATAAGATTTGATTGATATATCATGATGATCCTATACTTTGTTTCTTCAACTCTATCTATTAGAAAAAGTCAATATCTTGGTCTCCCTACTGTCTCTCCTACTAGCATTTGCCCCTGCCAATTGATATTGACCATTCAAAAATACATTTCATTAGAACATAATTATTAAATTATAGTGAAATGAGCAGAATGCAAGATGAAAGTAAAAACTAGTAACATTCTCAGAAGGTCATTGGAAAGTATGCCAATGAAATATGGATGATCTCAGAAATTCAAAGTGTGGGTTGTATGGTAAAAGAGAAAACCAAGAGGCTATTAAGTTCAAATATTTGAATAACCACATTTTAATTTACACTATTGAACAAATCAGTCTGTTCTTTGTAACATATTAGATTTCCTTTTGCATGTTTATTTAAAATTATGCAAAATTTTATCAAATCTATAGATATATGTATATATATATCACAACTAATGTTTTCATACCTGATACGTGTTGTCAAAGCTGTCATACATAAACCGTGTGATAAGCGAAGTTTTTCCAACTGTAACATCAAATCACACGATTAATGCAAAAAATTGATCACATATTAAATGTTGAAAAAATCAGAATTCAAAGTAGCAAATCTTTTTGGAATATAGTTTCAAAATATATATATATAAGACTATTATCTTTTCTTGGAGTAAAAGTTATCTAAAATAGTCCGCTGTGATCGAAGTTTGCAATAGCGGTATTCCGAAATATTCAGCGATCTTTCAATGGGAAATAAATATATTACATAGCCGTACGACACTAGGTGCATAAATTATAAATTTTGATGGTTAATAGATAATTCTACGGAGAAGGCAGGTTTCCACAATGAGATACGTATAGAATTGCACATATTATTGAGATTGAATACAACATTAGGACGGTGACAACAAGAATGACGCCGAATTCGATCGCAACGATAAAGTTGCACAGTGACCAGAAATATTGATTTATAACCTAGAACGGTCATTGGAATTGATACATAGGAGAGAAATTCCTGAATTTGATATTACGGGGAGTTATTGACAATATAAAACCGACAAGTACATCGCCAATATTGATCCAAAATCAACGGAAGTATGTGCGCAAAATACTTACCGCTCTGTTCACCGAGAAAGACAAGCTTAAATTTACGCAACGGGTATCCAAAATCATCCGAAGACGACATTTTCTTCATATAATAGAACTACTACACAATGAGTTATCAGTACTAAGCACACGCGAATAACTTAATTGATGCAACGAGTCATTAATTTTCACGAGAAATCATTTAACTTGACAGATCGCAAAGCCACTCCTTCCTTCACTTGCAAGGCAGCCACGTTTAACTGGGAAGTGACGTCATTGGTTAGTTGCTAGTCTTGTTAGTTTCGAATCATATTCCTGTAGATGGCGTGCAAAAGTTTAAAATGTACTAAAAACAAATTTTTTATGTCATAAAATAAATGTACACAAAACAATTCTACGAACAGATTACAAACTGAGTGATGTTTATTAAAATCTTGTTAGTATCGTGTGTCGGGTTCTCAGATTACAACGCTTGAAAATAAATTATAAAATGTTTTATTAGTAATTGCTTTAGATAGAATCTGTACAATCTGTGTAGTTTTCAAGATAATTAGGTATCCTTTCCCAAACAACCTGTAAATATTTGTTATTCAGAGATTGTAGAATTTTATGTATTACATTGGTATACATCGAAATTATCGTTTACTTTAGAAAAATACTTTGTAACATTCGATTTAAACCTTTATGTACATATCATATTCGCCCGTGCTAACATACAATATATACAGTTTAGATATATATTTGATTCTTCTTTGATTTTTTAAAGCATACATTTATTGTTGATGAAGTCTATTATTATTCAAGTTCCTATAGGGATCTTCAACCACGATAGAATTACAGAGTAGGTCATAGACAGTTCTGTTAAACCTGAAGAAGAATAGGGCAAAGCATACAGGGAATAGAAATGCTAGAATCATATTCTTCACTACCGATCTCCCAAGGGCAAGTGGTAAACCTAAGTCTGTTCCTGGTGAAACAAGTACAACATCAGGATCATCAGGTCTATCAACAGGTGTAACACTACGACATTGAACAACTATTAATCCCATAATTGATTTTCCTGGTGTTGCACCACCAATAAGGCCATTCAGACCCCGTTGAAGCCAGAAAGCCTAAAAAATTGTCTCATTAAGGTACCACCTATATTACTACCATCAATCAGATGCTTACCTCATTAATGCACACTATTACACGATGGATTATTTCTAACATTAGTATACCATATGTCATTTCTAAAGCCATTTTATAGTCAATTCTCAAATTTGCCCGTACCAAGTCTAGATCATCTATATCTCTAAAATAAAATAGAACATTGATAAATCATATTTGTAATAAAACTGAAATTAGAAAACCATTTTACATACATAAAATCAAAAACATGAATAGCAATGAAAGTAATAGAGAATTTCAAGAGAAACAACATTGTTGCATCTATAAAATCTGCTGCTAATCTTTTCCATATTGGAGGTATACGGTACACAAAACCTGAAAGAATCAACTCCTTAAATTTCGATAAATAAGATTATCATTACATTAAATGATACTGATGAAAATGTATGTTTCAAAAATACTGCATTTATGAAACCATCACATGACACTGTTCGAGGGTAGATAAAGCAATTGCACTAACAAATAATTACACAAAATGCAGTACTTTTGAAATAAGAGCACATATAGTACTAGCTGAACCTCTGTTGGAATGTGATGGACACAGGAGATATCGTTATGACCTTCTACCTTCAGCTCCAGGAGGTTGAAACGGAGGTCCTACATGGTCTTGGGGCCTCCTCTGTCTGAGCGGATCGTTTTCCTGATCACTTGTGCCAACAATTAACCTATGTGTATTTGTTACGTTTGGTACTTGTGATGAGAACGACGGTACACCTACAATTATTCTATTTTATAGAATAATTTTGCTTTATTAAGAAGCTGTGACAATTTGAAAAGTATGCTCTTTAAGATGGCAACAGCACGACCATAATCTTACCAGATGCTGAATTTATCATCTGACTAGACATTAAATAATATGGAAACATTGCAGCCATACTCTGCCAAGCATAAGCTTCATGTAACCATTTCTCTAATTTTTTAAAATATTCTGAACGTTCTTCTGCAGTTATCATTTGCTGCTGGCCCTTGCTTTCTGTAGATTTATCCATTTGTGAATCTTCATTTTTATCATCTGCCATATTTCTGTTTGATAAAAGTTTTTATCAAATGCAAATATTGTCAAATGTTCGACACAGTTCTTGTATTTTAAAATTGTACAGTATTCAGATCGATTTATTCAAGACAATAAACAATAAAGCTCAGAGCTGTCAATGGTAATAAACTATATTTCACAATTTTACAATCTCGTTAAACATTAACTTTTCCTCGTAAGGCAGCGAACTGGACAACGCTGGTGAAAAATCAATCCACAATATTTACAACAAATAAACGAAATAATCGTAATACGTCTGTTTTACATCTACGTAATACTTGTCTCGGGAAAGTCGGTACTTAAGCGCAAACTTCTTTGCTTGAAACTGACGTGTACAACAACAAACAGATAATCATCGATTTCTCGAAACTTTCACCAACAATATTACAAAAGAGAATAGTAACGTTTTATACGCTTTTTAATGAATTCTTTTCTTAGATCTAAGCGACAAGGAATCGTTCAAAAAAACGCTATTGGCCATCATCAGTTCCGTCCAATTGAATGCGTCGACACATCCCACCAAAATAAAAACGTAAAATGAACAAACATATCTATAAACTATTTCGTCTATGCAACAAAATACAACGAGTGCGATAATTGACATTAGTAGATTATTCCATTCATACTTAAGAATGCAAACGCGTTGAACAGAAACGTTTCAATAACCCCTAATCAAGCTACCACACGACTCGTGTACAAATCCCATAAGGGAGTAAAAATCGATCAGAAGTAGTAAACGCGGTAACTTCGTTCTTCGCTTAAAAATACGATAAAACGGATTTGAGTAGGAAAAGAGAAAAATATCAAGACACCTTTGGTCGTGGCGATGAACTCAAAACGCAAGAACAAGAAAGGTAGCGGAGGTAAACAAAAAATTACCGTCCATTGGCACGATTGAAATCGCCAGACGAAAAATCCCTAGCCGTTTCCCTGAAAACCAGGTGGCAGCGTGCGCGGCGGTTCGCACTGCGGCGCTGGCTTCTCAGGACATGACGTACTCGAGGCATTCGTGCAGTAATCACGGCCGGAGGACGTTTCTGGCGACTAGCCTCTTTCTACATTTCGCGTTTTCGAAATAAATAACAACGAAGCGGCGGGTGTCGCGGGGCAGTGTGTTGTGTCGAACCGCCGTGCGCGATCGTACACGTTGCGAGTGACAGTTGGTCTAGTCTTTTTTGAAAAGGGTGTGGGCCACGACGCCAGTGGAAACATTTAGGTAAGAACTCGTATACATTAACTTGGATATGTGTAATAAACGTTTTCGTTTGTTATAACGTCGCGAGATACGTAACAGGAGGATGTGTACAAGGACCGCGAGGTGACTGTGCGATTTCTGGGCGTATTTTTGCGCATAGAAATTGGAAATCACCGTGTTCCATTAGTCACGCGTCAATTCGGTGGAACGTCGCGCTAGAATTCCGGGAATATATGCGCTGAAAAATCGAATCTCCCTCTTTCAGCGACGTTGTAAACAATCGCGTGAACGCGACACACACGTTTCGCGAGTACGCGCGTCTGACCGTCGGTCGCGTATCGCTCGATATCGAGACACGGGGCCTCGATGAGAGTTCGGCCGGTCCATGAAAATCGAAAGTTCGATTTTCGAGCGATTGCAAAATATAGGTTAAGTGCGTGGAGTTGAAAATAACCTTCGTACACCCTTATTTAGTACATCACCCATATATATTGTATACACATCGAGTATATTATGCTATTTAACAATTACAAGGAATTACCAACGGTGCACGTTCGGTTTAAAGGAAAATTGATCCGCGATCCACGTGTCGTCGGAGTCGTGCGTACGTGCACTTGAGAAGAGGACGAAAAAAACCAGGCTGACGAACGCGTGACGTTGCGTCAACGTTTCAGGGGAGATCGTAGGGCCGAGATTTAGCCGGCGATGTTGCGGATCGCTTAAATCCCCTCGCGGGTTCAAACGAACCTCCTCTATTCGATCGATACGTTTTTAGTACACCTAACCCTCCAGTTACACGGCGTTCTGTTTAATACGAACCGGAAAGTTACAATGTTCACATAAAAATCATCAAATCGACGACTTTCTACGAAACAATAGAAAAAATAAATTGCTCCTATTTGTTCACAATACCACTTATCCGTAAGAAGTAAATATCCTCTCTGGTAGCACCGATCAACTGTCCCACTTTTTTCCTAAAAAGAAGAGGAAAAGAGACCGGCTGGTGGAAAAACGTCGGACTGCTTGCTAGAATGCGTACGAATAAAAGGCGAAGCTTTCCCCCAAATCGAGGTGAATGGCCGCGGGCGCACAGAGTCCCATTCACGCGTCCTAAGCGGCTCTACGTTTTCGGAACCGGTTGCACCGAATTTATGGGAAAATGGCCGGGCACCGTGGGAGCCTGGTGTCTTGCGTGGCTTTTCTCGTCGCCGGCTGTTGCTTGGGTCCCTTAATTCGAGCCGGTCGAACGCGGACGACGTCGCGGTGCAACGCGTCGCATACTAATTTCGCGGCTGTCTCACGGCCGAATTAAATGTGTTTCTACACGCAAAACGTTTCCGGTTCCGGCGACGTTTCGACAACCCCATAGACGTCATTAAACGACTGTACACGTCTTGTTTTTTTTTCTTCTTCTTCTTCTTGGCGTAACCTTGTGTTTCTCTCTCTCCCTCCCAAAGTAAGATATCGATTATTTCTACGAGGAAAGATTGACGATTTTATTTGTTGTTATTCGATAAACTGGGTTTCTCGGTAACTCGAATATCCGCTGATCGAGTTGTAGCAGCAGAGGGAAGCTCGCGATAACGCAAATTGCCCTCCTCGATAACAAGAGCTTGCAGCCAGATTACACGGCTCTTAATTCACTCTACGCGGAAACGTAAGTAGATACGGTGGTTAGATTAAAAATTCGAGTAACATGGTGTTTTTGGTTTGGATCGATCTGCTATTTTTATAATTTCGATTTGTATTCACGTGTTGATGGAAAATAAATATACTTGCTTTACGTTGCTATCTGGTTATTTATATTTTATTCAAAAATTCGTACTCAGCGGTATTAAGTTGTTTAAGAACATTCTAATTACAACGCCGTTTAATATCGTTTCGTGGAAATGTCGCGATTATCAACGTGTAACGAATGCAAAATACTGGATATAACGGAGGAGTGACACTGATTTCAAGATTACATCGCGCTGAGATGTCTGTTTTATCACCGGTTGCTTAGAATCATTTTACTAGACTCGTTATCTATGTCGTAAAGCCGTCCCAACAGCTATACAGAGGTTCGTGATTGCGGTGCCGGGGAAATATTCCAGTTTCATTTTGTTACGTACGGTTTGCATTCGCCGTGTTTTTCCTGTCGTTACGTTTCACCGTTAATATCGCCGGTTTAATTCACGGAACTGCGAGCTATTCACGATTATCGATTATTAATAATCATCAGGGAGAAGCGGCGGTGGTTTCCGGCCTGTCCGCGCGGTCCAATCCGCGTATTAATATTTCTGTCGTTTCGCTCGATTTGCAAACAGACGTCGCCGCTTTTCAGTCGTCAAGATCGCAAATTTGCAGAATTTCTCGGGAGACGTTATTTTTCAACGAATTAACATTTTCGTGTTTTTTTACCGACAGAGGAAAATTCTCGAAAAAAATAGCGAACTTTTCGAACGAGTTCGTCGACGTACTCTGTTCTTCGATGTTTCGTCGAAATCGGAGGGAAAAGGCAGCGTATAGCGCAGCGACTCGCGTAGCAATAAACGTCCACCAGGGAATTCTGCTCCTCCATCGAGCATTCCCCTAGAAGCCTTCCCGACCGCGCAACAAAGGAAAGGAACGCCAGAGACGCTCTTTTCTCGTCGGAATTCCACGAATTCCGTTCTCGATTTTCAGCCGGCGCATTCTCGCCGATTTCGACACCGAGTTCCCTCTCTTTCGCTCTTTCGAGTGTATCGCAGATCTTTCGCGGTGATCGACGCACGATAACACGTCAGAGACAATAGGCTCTCTTCCGCGGACTTCCGCCGGGCCAGAGTACGCCTGGCGATTTACAATTGGAGAGAAATTATTTTCGAATCGAACACACAGATCGCGAATATAGCTATGATGAATTTTTTTTTAATTATTTTTTCTTTTTTTTTTTTTTTTGTTAAGAGGATTTTAACGATGGAATTTTATCGATGAACATCACTCTCGTATATATAACAATGGTAATAACAGCGATTCGAACAGCAAATATTCGTTAATATAGACGACACGTGTTCGTATAGAGAACGATAAAATAAATTGTACCGGAGAAATACACGGGAGATCCTATTGTAAACGGTGACCGAGCACGGTGTGTCTATCGAATCAATTTTTCCCATATCGTGTTCGAAATCAACAGGGAAGGTAGCAGTAGTCGGTTTGCTTTTTTGTTTTTTTTTTTTCATTCAATCGAAGTATCGGATAAGTGGCACAAAGCAAACGAGTAGTAGCGGCGTTTAGCAGATTGTGAATCGAAAATGAAGTCTCTATGCCGATGGCCCGGTGTAATTTCGCAAATGACGGTGCGCCATAAACGGATTCCATTGGAATTCTGTGCGCGCTATCGCGCTCCATTTTTTCGGACGAATACCACACGCCCGGGCGAAATCTCATTTGGAAACATTTAAACCTTGATTTTTTCCCTATTAAATGCCTCACAGTACCCCTGGATCAAACATTGTAGATTAACTTTTCAGCGACTGAAAGGGAAGTAATTAAATCACCGTAGAGAACGGGAACAAAAGTACCGACGGTGAGGTATCGATTTTGAGAAAAGAAAATAGAGAAAAATGTCGACCTCTTTCTTTCGCAGTCCGCCTCTTTCTTTCTCTCGTCAATTTTGAGAAAAGGGAGAAGTGTCGAC